ATGGCTGAATGAGACAATTCCACGAGGATTGATGCATTGGAGAAACAGATCGAGATGATAGGTTTGACTCTCACACAACTCGCCAGTCTTATCCATGGAGGTGACAAACAAGGTGAATCTTCTTCGAAGAAAATTGACTCTCACACAACTCGCCAGTCTTATCCATGGAGGTGACAAACAAGGTGAATCTTCTTCGAAGAAAATTATTGAGTCCGATGTGGAATTATCCATGGAGGTGACAAACAAGGTGAATCTTCTTCGAAGAAAATTATTGAGTCCGATGTGGAAAGAGAAGATTCAGATTCCGACGAGGAGGAGGAGACTGTTAAGGCTGCATTGCATCAAGGGGGTAAGAATTCTTATCAGAACCTAAAGATTGACTTAAAGGTGGAGATTCATGTTTATGATGGGAGTGTTGACGTCGAGAGGCTTGATGACTGGATCGAGAGAATGGAGACGTATTTTACTCTTTATGGCTATTCGTCAAAAGAAAAGATTGTGTTCGCGACATTGAAGCTTTCAAGGCACGCGTTGACGTGGTGGAAATCCTACTGCAAGCAGGAGAAGAAGGTGATATCATGAAACAAGTTCAAGGAGTTACTGAGGAAGCGGTTCTACCCGGTAGGATTCCTTGAAGAGCGTTGGTACAAGTGGTACGGTTTGCGCCAAAGGATCAATCAAACCGTTCAAGAATACACCACGGAGTTCCAGCAGCAGGCGATGGTCCTCAACATTGTGACAGAGGAATATTTCGTGTTTATGAAGTATATGGCAGGATTGAGCGATTACATCTGAAAGGAGATGAAGCTATTCACGGTTGAATCAATTGCAGAGGCGAGCGTGAAGGCTATTGCCCTCGAGGGTAAGCAAAAGAAGGACAACGAGGCTAAGGGAGACTCCAAACAGACGGAAGACAAGTCTAGTGGTTCTCAATCTAAGGAGGAGAAGAAAAAGGGTGATCCAGGGAAGGCAGAGCTGATTTATAGTCACTACGAGAAGACAGGGTACACAGCTGATCGGTGCTGGGAGAAGTATCCTCATCTCAAACCAAGAGGGTTGAAAAAGAAGGAGGAGAAAAAGGCATACATGATAGCTCAAGGTCCGAAAGAAGTCCCGAGGATGACAAAGTCCAACAACAGTCCCAACCTTATGGCGGGGAAGCAGACCACGAAAGAGGACGACGACCCGAGAGAGCAACTCTTTGTTCTTAAGTTGCAAGTGAAGACCAGTTTGGTTGATACCATTGTTGACTCAGGCAGCAAGAAGAATTTAATATCCGAGGCATTGGTTCAGAAGCTGGGTCTGAAGACGGTCAATCATCCGAAGCCCTATCCATTGGGGTGGATTCAGAAGGAGGTGAAACCGAGTATAGTTGATCAATGCACTGTCAGATTTGCGCTCCACGAGTCGTATATTGACGAGCTCACGTGCGATGTCATTCCATTGGATGTTTGTCAGATTATACTGGGCAATCCGTACTTATGGGATATATATGCGATCTACGAGAGGCGGGCTCAGAAGTACACCTTCACTAAGGATGGTGAGAAGTTCACATTTCGCTCGGCATCTCTTTCGAGGGAGACAAGCTTGGGGACGATGATGCGAATGAAGAGACTAGTGAATGCAAACAAGAAGTTTATCTCGCTGTGCATTAGACTTTCAGAAAAGCCATCGATAAAGAATTGCAACTTGGGGCAAAAGGTGATTATGACGAGACGCGGGATGGATGAGATGTTTCCGATCAGATGTCGAGACTAGGTTCCTAGTAGGGCCAGATGGTGCAGAAAAGATGGAGGAGCTCGAGAGTTTCCTCAGCAAAAGTTCTAACTTGAACGGGACTTTAAGTTCCTAAAGAGGGGACCCATGATGCGGGTGTATCTTTTCTTCGGGAGCTTAGCGACCCTCATGGGAGCTTGAGGATAGATGATTCTCATGATAGCATGAGAATAGGGGTATAAAACAATACAGTGGAACGCAGGTGGAAGCGTGAAACGAGACGACGAGCAGCAGATTCGAAGAATTCAGATTTCAGCCTGTGAGTCGCCTCATACATGTACATGAGTCGACTCATCAGGTTGAGTCGACTCATGCCTATCATGAGTCGACTCAAGAAATCAAGCTCTGTTAACAAAAGTTTCTGACCAGTCGACTCATCAGTTATGAGTCGACTCATATGAGATCATGAGTCGACTCATAAAAAGTTTCTGACCAGTCGACTCATCAGTTATGAGTCGACTCATATGAGATCATGAGTCGACTCATAACTGCTCATGAGTCCACTCATCGATGGTTTCCTAGTTCGTTTGGGTTTCTGTTCACACAAATTCCTGTTAGTTTTGGGCTTGGTTATTTACCAGATTACCATCCACGTTTGTACACCTATATAAAGGATTGTTTTAGGGTTTCTAAAAAAAGACCAGAGGATCTTAGATCAGAGAGAAATTCTAATCATTGTATTAGGGTTTAGAGAGGATTGAGAAGTTGTTCTCGATTCTAGTGAGATTGTGAGGGAGAGATTTGTAATAATTGATTCTTCATAATCTAAAAAAGGTATTTTACTTCGCCATACTGAATTGTCTTGTGTTTTAGTTGTCTTCTTCTCAACTCATCATTTGGTAATTCCGCGACCAAAGGGTGCTCGCACGACAACTCGTATCACTACGGTCGACCGTGAACATGCACGAACACAGGAAAAGTCTCTGGACTTTTTGCGGTCGACCGCGAGTGGTACGGCGGCCGACCGCGAGACCCTGTAGTGCTTTTTTGTTCTCTGTCGATTAGCCACGGTCGACCGTCACTAGCGCGACGGTCGACCGTGATGCAGTTTTGGGCCTAGGCTTAGTTTCCTGCTCTGATTGGTTTTCTATTTGATATAAATAGAAATACGTTTTGTTTGGGGTTTTCTATCGTTCCAATTGCCAGAATTGAATTTTGGGATAGCTTGAAGGAGAGTTTTGAGCACATAAAAGAGAGTTTTTTCTGAGCAAATTGTTTGAGGGTTTTGTGAGAGATTTGAGGGTTTTGTTTGAGAGGTTAGTTTGAGTGATCTTGTAATCTCTATTTTCTACTCTCTTTCTCTATAGTGAAAACTCCTCTCCTTCTTGCCCTGTGGGCGTAGGCAATTTGCCGAACCGTGTTAAACTTTGCGTTTGAGTTTGTGCTATTATTGTTTGATTTAAGTTGTCTTCTCTCTCGGTGTTTGGTTTGGTTCCTCGGCGCACAAAAAGTGGCTTCCGCGTACAACAAGTGGTATCAGAGTACAACAACAAGTCACATTTGTTTTTATGAGGTATAGTTAGGAGTGGAAGTATACAAACATCATAACATTAAATATACTTTAAATATGCTTTCATTTTCAAGGTGGGTTTGTGAAGCTAACATATATCGCGTAGTAGTTAGGAGTGGAAGTATACAAACATCATAACATTAAGTATACTTTAAATATGCTTTCATTTTCAAGGTGGGTTAGTGAAGCTAACATATATCGCGTAGTAACCACGCTATATATATATATATGTATATATATATATATAAAGGTAAAAATAAGACACATAAAATATGAATTATATGGTTCTAAAATATTTTTTTTCTGGGCATGTTTTGGTTGTGGATGTATGCCAACTTCAAAGTATATACATCATAAACATCTTGACATATTGTTCTCTCTCTTTTTTTATGATCGTGTCGTACGTGCAATAGTTTATTTGCATGTGCACCACACTTTCCGAAAATATAGTAGAATGTAACCTTATTCACGAAGAGAAAGTGCATGTATATTAGTAGTTAATTTAAGTATAATACCCACCATTAAGGAATAGAAGCAACTAGTTCAACATTTAATATTTTGACCAAGAATTATCTTTTTATTCTAATATTCATAAACGTTTCGCCATGAAACGATCAATCCAAACACGAGAAACTTATGTATAAATTTGTTGTAAAACAACAAATTTTCAAGGTGATTCCTGAAAATACAACAATCATGCTCCGTTGATCCTCATATCTTGGTTGACGGATGTATAAAATTTTCCCTCCCTATTTGGTACATATCCTTTATATGATTAATAAAATGCTATGAAATGTTTGGTGCCTTGTAAAAATGGACTAATCTTAGTGAGTTTTATTTGTTCTAAGTTGCTACCCCGACATTTAAAGTTCATGATAGTTTTGTGATAATTTTCCAAAGATTTGTAGAAAAATAAGGTGATCAGCACAATTTGCTTATCATATCATTACCATACACCCAAAAGGGCTTATGTCGGGCTTTCAGTGAAAACAGTGATATTAATTCATATTTATTTTTTTTAATTTTTCCTGAAAAAGTTCTTCTGACATGATCATTCTAGTCCAACTTTGAGGGCGCCGGGGACTTCATTTCACTCCCATTGCTTTCTCAAACAGTTGTTTAATTTAATTTGACGTCTAACTTCAACCGCCGACATCCGAGACACACTTATTTATTTCGGATTCGGATCCTCTCCACTAAAAAAAATTAGTGAAGGGACCACTACATAATCACAACCATTGATTATCTAGTTGATGGTTATGATTTTTTTTTTTGCAAATTAGGAATGAGTGCAATGCACGGGGGTATGGTAAGTGTTAGATTTAGATTGTATCCTACTAAATAATCAACGCTTGAGATTAAAAGTAGTGGTCTCTCCACTACTTTTTTGTAGTGGAGAGGATCCAAATCCATTTATTTCAAGTTTCATTAATTGCCTTGTATTATCACCGAATTGCGGATAAACCCTCCATAGTTCTATCGTTACACATAACCACGTGATCAATGAGGTTAATTAATTCTTTTATCATTTTAGAGAGAGAAAGAATCGCGTCTTGATAAATATCTCCGGTGGATAAAAAAGTCAAAAAAAATTTTACTCACGGCTCTCTCTGCAACAATACAACTATACGGTTTCTATTCACAGCTGGGGGATAATAAGGGGTCTATTCATATTTAAAACTTTTTAAATAAGACACAAACCAGAGAGAGAGAGAGAGAGATGGGAACCTCGCATCCCACCTCCCCGGACTTAGAAAGCGTTCATCCTAATGATTCAGCCACCGAACCCCAAAAGCTAGACGCCGGTGCTCTCTTTGTTCTCAAATCCAAAGGTATGGAAAACCGAAAACTAATAAATATCGATCCATTAGCATCTGTAATGAAAAATAATAAAAAAAGTCATGTACACGTACATATGCTGAATACTACTGTCTACAGGGTCTTGGGTTCACTGTGGGTATCATTTGACGACGTCCATAGTAGCGCCCGCACTCCTGAGCCTTCCCTTTGCGTTCGCATCGCTCGGTTGGGTCGCCGGAGTTATTTCCCTGATCGCTGGAGCCTCAGTCACCTTCTACTCTTATAACCTCCTCTCGATCGTCCTCGAACACCACGCTCAGCTCGGCCACCGCCAGCTCAGGTTCCGCGACATGGCTAACGATATCTTTGGTTAGTCTTGTTATATATAATGTCCATGCATGCTATATGTAGGTGATTTAGTTTCCCTGTGTTTAATTTCTTGTTGTAACCATATCATGTGATAATAATAGATGATTATGTTGGGGTTTCTTCATGGTGGGATTTGGGATGAGAGCGGAGGTTGGCGACGAAGACAAATGCTGTTGGGGCATTTTTATTTTTATTTTTTTTTATTTTTGCTGGGTTCTTTGCTTGTAGTCTGGCTTTTTGTTGGGTTGGATATAGGAGAGAATGGGCTAGCTGGGCAAGCGGGAGAGAGGGGGAGGAAGAAGAACAGAAGGATAGTTTTGGACCTTTCCGAATTAAGTATTCATTTGTTCGATAAATATACGTTATTTGGATTTAAAGAATAAATTGCAGACAACAACACCTCTCCTGGCCTCATCGATTGAGGGCCGCTAAGTTCTAATATTATAATGAGTTTTGAATGGCGTCAGATGTTGTAAAGGGAGTTAGATCATAATTATTCTAGAGTAAATTTCACAAAACCCCCTCTTTGCCCCTTAAGTTTTGTCGTTTGAGACAACCCCCTCACAAAACCCTTCAGCAATAAAAAATCACTCTTTTATTCTTTTTTTTTTTCTATTCTTTTTTTAGATGTAAGTAGTATTTCTGCCATTTTTGTCGTGTGCGTGAGACGTAACAAGTCAGATTTGAAGGTATTAATATAAGGGTCAAAGTAAACAATCTTAAGTGAGTTTAGTGGATATAAAACAAGTTTAGGGGTTATGTGAAAACCTATCTTGAGAGGTTTTATATCTATTAAAATAGTTAAGGATCGAGATTATTTGGTATTACATCATTAGACTTAGTTATATATATAAATCAATACTACATCCATTTAGTCAATATTATCATAGAGATATTACATAATAAATTGTAATGGGAGCGGAGAGGTTTAATCATACTGATGGATACGTCCATCAACCAGCTACTTAATTCCCAACTTAAACGCATCGTAGAAGGTCGTTATCATCTTAAATATTGAAAAAAAAAAACAAGAATCTTTTTAATTAACAAAAAAACATCAAAGAAAGTACCTGAGGTATGGGAAACCACGAGGTCTCTGCATAGAATTTGACCACCCACTAGATTCCCCCAATATTTCTTTAAAGTTGATTGATGGTCGTATAGTTATATAGTTGCTATTAAACTATATATATGTAGATATATTCATCGGTATAACGGTATTCCTGACTTAATAACGTAGATACGTACCTAGCAACTGAAGATCAATTAACCCAATAATGATGAAAAGTTCCACATGTATCTATATGTTACTTCGTTTGTTCCAAAAGAAGATTAAGACAGTTCAAACATAGAAGTTTCTCGTAGAACATATGAGTACTCAATTCGTTTTTTGCTTGTTAATATCCTTCTATTTTATTGTTACACATTGAAAGATCACCAACATTTATGTTCTGATGTATTTTATCGTATATTATGTTATGAGTTTCTCTATCGGGTAGTGCTCAATGGCGCTCATTAGGGAATGAGAGAGAGAGAGAGAGAGAGAGAGAGAGAGAGAGAGAGAGAGAGAGAGAGAGAGAGAGGGGCATTTCTTAATATCCCATAATGAGGGATTCGGATCCTCTCCACTACAAAAAAAATAGTGGAGGGACCACTACATAATCACAGCCATTGATTATCTAGTTGATGGTTATGATTTTTTCTTTTAGGGGGGGTTAGTCATCTAGAACTTAAAACTAGAATTGGGATAATTTGTGGGATAAATTTTTAAGGTGTTAGTCATATAGAACTAGAAAATGGGATATTTTTTTATAGTGTTAGTCAAGTAGAACTTTTGTAGAACTAGAACTGTATTATTTTTTTGGTGCGTTAGTCAAGTAGAATTCTACTAGAAATAGAATTGGGATAATTGGTCATAATTATCCCACAAATTATACTACCTATAGATATAACCATAAGTTCTCCTCTCTCAAATTATCCCACACATTGGAAAGAATACAATTGGGAAAAAAAAAGTGAAACGTCGCCTCCCTCCCTCTTGGTTAAAATTTCTCTGCCATGAAGTCAATCATCCGTTCATTTTTCTGTCTTTACTTTTTTTTTTGTGATGATTAGATCTTTTATTATTATCTTCAAGATGTATTACTTTATTGATAACTTTTTGACGTTTAAATTACTTTATTATTATTTGTTTGATCTAAGTTTTCTCTTCACAACAGTGGTGTATTACTTTATTGATAGCTTTTTGACGTTAAATTACTTTATTATTATTTGTTTGATCTAAGTTTTCTCTCCACAACAGTGGTTTAGGTTAAGACTATAGTGTTGGTGGGTTAGTGCTAAAGATATGCGGGCTATTTATGTTTTTTTATAAGTTAGAAAGCAACTTTGCGATCACATTGATGATTAGATGTTGAATGGTTAATGGTGATATCTATTATTATTAAATCGGCTCAGTAAATTGATTGTGATATTTATAGTTCATCTGCCGATCATCTGTTTAGAGGCCACGGATGATTCCTGTGTACATTTCATTTATTTGCTGATTTGGTTTCAGCGATCATGATGAGATTGGTCTAAAGGGTTAATGGCTGAAAAATGCTTATTTTTTTTTATGATGTTATGAGATTTGAACTTCGACATTTATGATCCTCCACTAGAAGCTCCACGAAATGTTGCTGATGCAGACGATGACTCCGATAAAGAAGACGAGTTACAGACTCAACGAACAGCTGTAGGAGTTTGGAGAAATTCTATGGCAGATACCATGTGGGATGATAGAAGCCATGTGGGATGATGGAAGTCGAGTCACTCTAGGGATTTAGATTTTTATTTATTTGTAAATTATTTTATTACTTGAGATGAATAGTGATGCTTTATTGCATTATATTTTATAGTTATCACTAGATTTTGCTTATCAATATTATATTATTTTTAATATACAATTATTAACAATAGTAATTTATACCCACCATTACTTCCACCAAATTATCCTACCAAATTATGTAACTTGATAAGATTATCCATCATTATCCCACCAAATTATCCTACCAAATTATTCTACTTTAAGAATTACCCATCATTGTTCCACTAAATTATCCCAGTGTCAAAAAATTATCCCACTTTACCAATTATCCTAGTTCTACTTAAAAAGTTCTAGGTGACTAATCCCCCCTTAGTACAAATTAGGAATGAGTGCAATACACGGGGGTATGGTAAATGTTAGATTTAGATTGTATCATAACCGCCTAGTGCAATACACGGGGGTATGGTAAATGTTAGATTTAGATTGTATCATAACCGCCTACTAAATAATCAACACTTGAGATTAAAAGTAGTGGTCTCTCCACTACTTTTTTGTAGTGGAGAGGATCCAAATCCCATAATGAGTGTCTAGACGCACCCATTAGAAAATCATTATGTTATATTTTTCGAGCTTTCTTTCCTTTCGGATCATTCAAAAACGTAAGGTTACTATTCCTCGTGTATTTTTAAGTTCTTTTTCTAGTTACGAACATAAGTACCTGGACGCTAACAACTCAGGAAAATTCAAGATTGAGCAAGTTTTGGAAATATAGTAGAAAACAAGAGAAGCCAAAATGCTTACGGTATTGGAAAGATGACCTTCTTCTTCAGATTTTAGTCAATGATTTTTGGTCTTTGAGGGTGATAATGTCAGCTTGTTTGTTTGGAGACGGAGCCTGAAAAATTCAACTGGGTTGGTTGGTGAAGGGACGGATAAATTGTGGCTAGATTGATGTGGCTTTGTAGAGTATTGGACCTACAAGTTATTAAGATACATCTATATATTTATACCATTTGTTTCGGTTAAATCTTGTAAATTATGCATATATGGATATCACCTTTGATAATAGTATAAATTTTAGACTTTCTCGTAAAAAGAGTATTATTTTTTAGGACAAATTTTTAAAATCAATCTGTTTGTCAAAAAATTCTCAAAAAAAGACCAGTTTCAAACTTAATTTCAAAAACCGACCCAGTTGGGCTAAAACTTGGTCGGTTTTTGAAAAAAAAGTTCCAAACTTCACGAGAATAAAATTTGTTTTTTAAAATTAAGTTTGAAAAGGATCTTTTTTTGGAATAAAATTCATAACAGGTCGGTTTTGAAAATTTGTTTTTTATTATGACTAGTTTTACCTCTTACGAGCAATTTTAGGAAGAGAACTCCTCCTGAAATATATATACTATCACTTTTGTAAACTTTTTCCAGTTAGATCTTTGTAGATAATTACACATTTTACTGAACTAATATAATTATACGATAGAATGCTTCAATTGGCTTATATCAACGCCGGTGGTTGTGCTTAATTATATGTATTGGCTAATTGCTGATATAACTTTGCACACATAAATATGAACAAGACTCCTATCAACTTAAGTTGATGTCCACCAAAGTTTCTAGCCACACATTTATTAATATAAAATACCTTTTTATATAATACAAGGATCCCTAGGCAATATGAGTGGTTAAAAACTTTGGTGGACGCACTATTCCCTATCCACTTAAGTTGACACAAGTTTTCACCCATAAATATTGTTCGTTTAGCATGACTGTTTAAGTTTCTATCTGCTTCATTAATAATTATTATTAAAAATCTAAAAAAAACAAAGTAAATCACGTTTCTTTACAATTGATATTGTTGGGAATTTAACACCGAAATCCCTAATGCAACAGAAACGCAGAATAGAGAAAGTATACCAAGATATAACGAGGTTCGGCAACTGCCTACGTCTTCGGGAGCCACACAGTCAATTTCTTATTAATCAAACAAGAAATTACAAATCAAGAGCAAATCCCAAAACTGAGATTTCTCAAATGAACACTGTAGCTACAGTGTTAATAATTAAAGGGAATAAACCCCTTTCAAATCTCTCTCTCTCTTAAATCCTTTTCTTGATCCCCCTCAAAACGCGGTTGAGTGCTGGAGATGAGAAACCAAAATCGCTGCTGCGATTTCAAGGTTGGAGATGAGGAACGCTGCTGCGTTTTTGTGCCGCCGCCAGAGAAAGATCAGGGGAGGAAGAAAAAGCACAAACCCTAGGGCATCGGGGTTTGCTTTTATAGGCGATCGCCAGCCACGCGAGCGTCCAAGCTCGACGCGAGGGTCGGAGCGCCTGGACGCGATTGTCGGAGCTTGGACGCGAGGGTCGGTGTCCCAAACGCGAGGGTCGATGTCCCAAACGCGAGGGTCGGATCCAAAAATGCGAGGAGTACTTTTGAAGTAGCAACAGTGGTCAGCGTTGTACTTTTGGAAACCTTCATTATGTATAAAGCCGTCAAACTTTCTGTACCACTGTCTTGGGGCTTGTTTCAGGCCATACAAGCTCTTCTTGAGTCTGCACACCAGGTTCTTCTTCTTTTCTTCTGAGAAACCTTCTGGCTGGTGCATGCATATCTCCTCTTCTAGATCTCCGTGAAGAAACGTCGTTTTCACGTCTAACTGCTCGAGATGAAAATCTTCAATTGCTACAATACTCATCACGGTCCTGATAGTATTTAGCTTCACCACGAGAGCGAAAATATCGGTGTAGTCAATTCCTTCCTTCTGTTGGAAACCTTTGACAACTAGCCGGGCTTTATATCTTCTGGAACCATCATGCTCTTCTTTCACTCGGTACACCCATTTGTTGTGGAGTGCCTTCTTACCCGTGGGCAACTCAGCTAGTTCCCACGTCTGTTTTGATATGAGAGACTTCATCTCATCTTTCATGGCAAGCTCCCACTTGCTCGCATCTCCACACTGACAAGCTTCATCATAGCTTTTAGGCTCCCCACCATCTGTCAACAACAGATAGTTCATGTATCTCCTGTTGGGTACAGGAGGACGAGAAGATCTTCTTAATATCGGAGCTGGTGCGTCGGGCTCCTGCGCACCATCTTGTCCAACAGGCTCTTCTTGCTGAGGACCCTCTGCATTGGGTTCTTCCGAGAGGTTACTCGGGACATCATCTGCATCTATAAATATTGACTCGCTCTCTGAGTCATCTGTTTTATGCATGTCCTTATACATCACCTTCTCGTTGAATATCACATCTCTGCTACGGATCACTTTCTTGTTTTCGTTGTCCCAAATGTGGTAGCCGAACTCATCTTCACCATAGCCGATGAAAGTGCATTTCTTTGACTTGGGATCAAGCTTATTCCTGCCTTGATCACTAATATGCACGTAAGCTACACAACCGAAAACTTTTAGATGTGAGAGTTTTACCTCCTTTCCGCACCATACCTCCTCTGGTATTCTGTGCTCCAATGGAACCGATGGACCTCGGTTGATCAAGTAAGCTGCTGTGTTGACCGCTTCTGCCCAGAACTGCTTCGGTAGGCCTGACTATACCCGAATGCTTCTGGCTCTCTCTGTCAACTTCGGTTCATCCGCTCAGCTACACCATTTTGCTGAGGCGTGCCGGGCACGGTTCTCTCCATTCTGATCCCGTGCTCATAGCAGAACTTCTTGAATCTGGTGTCTTCATACTCACCGTCATTGTCGGTCCTGAGCTTCTTTATTCTCAGACCGGTCTCATTCTCGACCATAGCTTTCCATCTCCTGAAAGCCTCAAATACTTCTGACTTATGCTTCAGAAAGTAGACCCACACTTTCTGAGAGTGATCATCGATAAAAATCACGAAGTAGTGTTTTCCACCAATGGACGCAGTGGTTGTTGGTCCCCACACATCTGAGTGAACAAGCTCTAGCTTCTCTTTCCTGGGGGTTCTGCCACTTGTCTGAAAGCTGACTCTCTTCTGCTTTCCAAGTATACATTCTTCACACATATCCATCTCCACTGACTTCAGTCCTGGGAGTTTTCCCTTCGTGTGCATGATTTTCATCCCCTTTTCACTCATATGACCAAGTCTCTGGTGCCATAACTTTGAAGTTTCATTGCCTGCTATAACTGAGATCAAACAACGTGCACCTGCTGTCATATACAGGGTACCAGTCTTCTTGCCTCGGACAATCGTCATTGCGTCCTTTGAGATCTTCCAATCATCTCCATGGAAGGTCGTAGTGTATCCTTCTCCAGCCAACTGGCCTACGGATATTAAGTTCTTTCTCAGGTCGGGAATATGCCTGACATCCTTCAGCTCCCATACTGACCCGTTCAACTTAATTTTCACCACGCCTTTGCCCACAATAGCACATGGTTGATCATCATCAAGATATACGTATCCAAGATTTCCGGGGGTATACTTCTCGAAGAATTCTTTCTGAGAGGTAGCATGGAACGACGCTCCTGAATCTAACACCCAAGATTCCTCCTTGCTCTCCAAAGAGCATATCAATGCGTCGTCTCCTCCTGAAGTGGAGGTGACATTCACCTCTGCCTTCGCCTCCTTCTCCTTCTGTGCACTCTTGCACTGATTCTTGTAATGCCCGGTCTTTCCACAATTCCAACACTCGATAGCCTTCGAGCTGTTGCTTGGATTCCTTGATTTGGACCTCCTGTCCTTTGATCTACCTCTGAAGTTTGATTTTCCTCGTCCGTTTCCTCTGGTTGAATTTCTACCTCTTGACTCTGTATGCAATACTGAAGAGGTTGTAGCTTCACCAGTCTCTCGCCGTCGGATCTCCTCACTGAGAACCAAATCACGAACGTCGTCGAACTTCAACTTTTTGTTTCCCGACGAGCTACTCACTGCCGTGACTGTAGCGTTCCAACTCTCTGGTAGGGAAGACAACAATATCAACGCCCGAACTTCTTCATCAAACTCAATCTCAACTGAACTCAATTGGGTTGTAACCGTATTAAGTTCATTGAGGTGTTGTGCTACTGACGCGCCTTCCGCCATTTTCAGATTGAATAACCGTCGCATCAAATGAACTTTGTTCGCGGCTGATGGCTTCTCATACATATTTGAGAGTGCTGCCATAAGACCCGTCGTGGTATTCTCCTTCGCTATGTTGAATGCAACATTGCGAGTCAACGTCAATCTGATAACTCCGAGGGCTTGTCTATCTAGAAGGTTCCACTCATCTGCCTTCATAGAATTCGGCTTCTTCCCCGATGGTGGTTGATACAGATTTTTCTGATATAGATAATCCTCTATCTGCATTTTCTAAAATCCAAAATTTGTTCCATCAAATTTCTCAAGTCTTATTTTTTTCCTCATCTGCGGTCATGGCTCCCACTTGAATCTGACTTCCTCTAGATCGTTTCACGCTCTGATACCAGTTGTTGGGAATTTAACACCGAAATCCCTAATGCAACAGAAACGCAAAATAGAGAAAGTACACCAAGATATAACGAGGTTCGGCAACTGCCTACGTCCTCGGGAGCCACACAGTTAATTTCTTATTAATCAAACAAGAAATTACAATTGAAGAGCAAATCTCTAAACTGAGATTTCTCAAATGAACACTGTAGCTACAGTGTTAATAATTAAAGGGAATAAACTCCTTTCAAATCTCTCTCTCTCTTA